GATGACAGAAAGAAAGAGAAGGGGAAAGACACCCAGGGACAAAGCGAAAGTTTTAAAAGACACAAGTTAACAGATCCCTTGTGAGCAGAGAGGAAAGAGAACCAATGAGGGAGTAACCACAGGAAAAGCAGCAACAAGCATGGAAAAAGAAGCCACAGCCAAGGAGCCCAGTGCCTTGTGGAAATAGAACCAGAGGTGTTGGTGGATGGCAGGAGCCTCTCCTGGGCCCGAAATGGCCACAAGCAGCAGTCCAGCCATGCCTGAGAACTGGTTCCGACACCAGGCAGAAGATTATGTTCCTCCTCACCCTTTCTGCCCTCACCCACAGTAACCTTCTGTGATAGAATATGTAATTGTTCAACAGTATTTGGGACCTCTTTCTAGGGAACACTTGACCATGTGACTGCTTTGGTCAGTGAGAGCAGTGGACATGGCATATGTCAGTCGCTGTTATTTGTTTCCATGGTAACTAACGTATTTCAGATGGAGGCTTGTTCTGTCTGCCTGAGTTGCCAGAGTGCAGGCAACACAGAACAGCCCGCTGTCATGGGTCAGAATGGTCATGGAACCTGAGTGAGAAATAAACCACTGATGATGTAAGCTAATTGAGAGATCAGGTGCCATCCCAGAAAAATGGAGCCCACTCTGATCTCAATTCCCAGTAACCAAGGTGTCACAGTCTAAATTCTTGTTTCCTGGTCACTAATGTGATGATATTGGGATGTGTGACCCTTGTGAAGTCATCAGATCATGAATTTTCATGAATGGGTTTTGTGCCTTTATAAGAGGCCCAAGGTACCTGTTTGAGCCTGGCTCCGTCTGAGGGCACAGCTAGAAGGTACCATCTTTGAGGAACGGGCACTCAGAAGGCACCAAATCTGCCAGCACCTTGATCTTGAACTTCGCAGCCTCCAGAACTGTGAGAAATAAATGTTTGGACCAGTCTAGGGCACTCTTGGTGTAGCAACCTGCAAGGGCTATGACACAGGATAACCCGAACAGATGGCTATTCCCCGCAAGCCTAAGAAGTCTCCACCAACACAAAGCCGAAACCAGCCATGCTTTAATCCACTCAGCTCCCAACATGAACTTTTGATGTTTCGGGGTAGAACTGTTCTGCTTTCAAACTGTTTCTCCTCCCAGTCTGTACCTGTCCAGTCTGTCTCTTGCATGTGTGTCCAACATAAAAATCGGTACAAAATACTGGGTGGATTGAAGCATTACTAACTGATGCCTTTTGTCTTTGAAGCTTGTCTTTTATGACATTGCCCCCTTTTATTCTACTGTACATTTTCCTCAAACAGAGAACTGAAAGAATTTCAGAGCAAATGCCCACATATCTACCACCTAGACTTCATAGTTATCCCTTTGCTTCATTTACACCATACCTGTCCATTCTGGCAACCCATTCTTTCGTCCATCTTGGATTTTTTTGGATGAATTTCAAAGTAAGTTGTAGACTCATGATGACATAATGTCTTAAGCTTTGATATTTAGTGTTTTTTTTTTTTTTTTTTAGTTTCGTCAAACTTTAGAATTTTTAAAGAAATACGTTAAAATGTTGTTTGGGATCACTCTGTTTCCTCTGCCCACCCAAACTTGCACATTTGTACCTTTTAACAATCAAGAATTCAGCATATTTGTCCACAGTACATAAATCCCGGGTGTCTACACTTTCTTAATCTTGCTCTTGAATTTTTCTCTCTGTTGCTTCCTCTCTTATCTCTTCACTCAGCACAACTTTCGTTTGCCTTCCCTTTTCTCTTTCAGCTCTCCAGCAGATAATTTTTAAACTAAACAACAGCTGAACAATACCCCCACTGTTCTGTGTGTCTGGGTATGCGTGGCACGTCCAAGCTTGTCCAGAAGAGAAGGAAACACAATTTCTTCCTTTTTATTTCTTTGCATCCAAAGTGATTAAATCTGTCTGCATGACCTTCATACATCAGACCATTTGGCTATTTTTAAATTTAATAGAACAAGCCCGGCTGCATTCCCTTTGTAGAAGAAATCTTTACCACTAAACGGTATGGTAAATGCCAAGGGAATAATTAATCTTTTGTGAGACAAGAGAGAGACTCTGCCATCCTACAATTGCTGGATTGTTTAAATTATTACACAGTAATTCATGCTAGTTACATATTTGCATTGTTGTACAAGTATTTTCTTAATTTGATTAAAGATGACTTATGGAAGGGAATCCTACTTTTGCACAACAGACTCAATAGACCTTGTTACATGATCTGGTACATTTCATTTTATTGCTCTAACCAGTTTTTTCATAAAAGGATATCAGTATTGAGGAAAAGAGCCTGCAAATAATCTCCAGCAACAGAGGCAGTACTGAGTTTTACTTACTAGCAGCAACAACAAAGCTTTTGGTTAAAAAAGGAAATACAAGGTCCCAAGTTCAATCCCTGATACCAAAAAAATAAAATAAAATAAAAAAGGATATTGATGAGCATCAATTTCACAGCAGTCTTTTCAACCTTTTCCAGGATTATAAAACTGAATTGGCTATTTCTAAGTGAAGGGAAAGAAATAAAAACAATTCCATAATAAAGTATTACAGGAAGAAAGTGAAGAGAATTGTCCAGAATTATACTATTTATTCCTACTTTTTAATGTCCAAGTCCTTGTACGTGAGTTGGTTTTTTTTTTTTTTTTTTGATGCCTAAGGTTGAATACAAAGCACTTGATTAAATGTTGGGAATAGAAAGGAGAAAGAAGATGTATGCCGGGTCCTCATGGAATTTGTAGTTTGGTAGGGGAGGTGGCACATGGGCCTGTAGTTCTGTTACAGTCTGAGGTGCTATGGTGAGGGTGGAGAGAGAACTAGGGGGAGTCTTCCCTGAAAGGAAGGCGTAAGAATGCTCAGCTTTCCTTTGAGCACCCTTGGACCCACAGGAGTGAGCTCACTGGAGAAGAGAGGAACTGTGGTTGAGACTTTTGTCTGCTGTAAGCACTGAATGACCCACACCAACTTGCATTTAAAATGGGACTATATTGGCTAACATCTCCAAGTGTCCTAGGGAACATGGAGTTCCACAGCTGGACCCAGGGTGTAGTTCAGTGTCCTCGGGAGCCTGCCACCATGGAGCGCTCAGCAGCACCTTCCTTCTTTCTTCCTAACAGGACCCAACTTGTGCTCACTCACATTGGAGCTGCCTTGTCCCTCAGGAGTGGCTTGTCTTAGTGATGATATCTGTAGCCATCGTATTTGCAAATAAGGTCACATCCTGAGGTACTGGGGCTTGGGACTCTATATGTGAGTTCTTAGGGGACACAGTTAAATCCATAACACCCCACCTTTCTCTCCCCCTCCCTCTGAGCTCCTGCCGATACTGCCTACTGGCTGAACCCAACCAGATCATAAGGGAACCTGCTGATGTGAACCATAAAATCAGCCTCCTGAGGCACAGAGCCAGGGTAGAGAAGGTGGACCGGCAGGGGCAGAGAATTTGCAGAGCACTTTGTGCCTTTTTGTGCTTGGGAGAGAGCCCTCCACGTAGCAGCCAACACCTCTAGACTGACTTGGTTCTTGGCCACCACTGTCCTGATAGAGAGGCAGGGACCCTCTGCCTCCCAGTTTGCATAACTTTCCTAGGAGAAGTTGATCAGTTCTGCTTGGGTTACAGGAAGAGACTTGAGATGGAAAGAGAAGCTAGGATAACTGCTCTTCTGTGCCATGGCCATTTTCAGCCTACCTCTCCCATTACTCTGGAACTCATTCTCCCTATGGCTTTCTAGCTGTCTGTCATCTAGGGACTGCATTCGGTTGCATGACATGAAAATTCAAGAGCAGCGGAAATCGACCAGATGCAGTTTATTTTATTTATTGTTTTTTATGTAGTCAGCTAAGGCTCTGACACCTTCTCCCCATTTCCCCATCACTACCATGTGGCTTTTGGCCTGTGGCTGAATGCTGCTGTTCCACTCCCAGCCCCACATTCAGTTCCAAATTAGAGACTTCAAAGAATTAGAAGCAACTGAGATCAAGAAAGCAGAGTTTCCTCAGAAATCTCTAGGCTCCATCCACATTTATCTCATAAAGCAGAACTTGCTACCTGGAAGCCTGAGAAATGCAGATTTTTGGCTGAATTGATTGCCATTTAGAAGAACGAGGTTTCTCTAACAGGGATGAAGTGGAGAGTGGACGTTAGGTGAACAGCTGGCACGGTCAGCAGCATAGCTGTGGTACCGTGCACTTGTCTTTCGTCTTTGTTGTGGTTTTTTAAATGTAGCTTTTATTTTTCTTTTTGGGCTTCCACCTTGGAAGGTGGCATCCAGACCTGCAGAACTGTCACTCTTGATGTGAGTGGACTGGGCAAAGCATACATAAACACTGCTACAACCAGGTGCCACATGAAGACATTGCAGTCAATGCCCCAGTGGCCAACCAAATATGTGACACTGGTCCCATACGATTATGCTGCCTAGTGATGTAATAAGTGTATTGGTTTGTGTAAGTAATGACTGTGATGTTGCCCCAGTGAGAGAAATCACTTAATGATGCATTTCTCAGAACTTAACCACACTTATCCCAGTGGGACTCACACATGACAGTATTCAGAAAAGAGAATCACGGTCTAGATTTAAACAACAAATTCCTTGGGCCAGGGATTTAGCTCAGTGGTTCTGCTGCCTGCCTCACGATGGTCCTGGCTTCAATCCCCGGTACCAAAAAATAAATAAAATAAATAAAAACAATAAACAATAAACAACAAAATCCTTCCAGACAACTCTGCTATAATCCCCTGCTACTGTGCATTTTGATTAGTCTCGACTGTTGGGAAGTATGCTTATCAACGAAGTTGACTGCAGAAATCTTTTCAGAAATCCTTGTGTTGCCTGAGTTACTCCTCATTGATATGTTTATAAATCTCTTGACAGTGATGCATCTTTCATCTATGTTTAATAATTAGCTTTTTTTCCCCTTTGTACTACTCAGATATGTGGGCAAAGTAAAATTATAATGCAATTATCTCTTCTCTCTCTAGAGGAAAAGAACCAAATTCATTGCCTGTGATTTCCTGACCGAGTGGTTGTACAAGTAAGTTGTTCATGTCTTTCAATATCCAGTGGCCCCCGGGAGTCCACAGTGTGAATTTACAAGCAGAACAGCAACTGACTTGAATTCTTGCTCATTGTTTTCTTGTTAAACACATGGCATCGTGACCAGCCAAAATCCAAAGAGGATAGGGGAGCCGTTCACAGAATTCTTCTCCATCCCGTGTGTGGAGGAATGGCTAATGCACCAGTAAGTTTGAACATTTTATTCCTAACCTTAAAACTGTGTTGATAGTTTTCTCCAATCTAAGAGAACTAATTCATGTTGTCCACCTAGGACTCAGGATCAGGTATATTTATAAATCTTATCTCTGGTTATTTTTAGCCCAGTCTAAGCACATCCTATCCTTGCTGTGATTTCATTCCAGAAACACTTGAGAGATAAAATAGAAAACAAATTCTTGTTCTAAAGAATTTATCTTTCCACTTTCTCTTTTTGTTCATCTGTGTCTCTGTCCCTGTATTTCTCCCTCCCTCCCTCTCTCTCTCTATTTCCCCACCCCTTTTTAAGACAGGGTCTCCCTGTATTTCTCAGGCTCCTGCCTCAGTCTCCCTTTCTCTCTCAACATCATTATGCCTGAGGAAATATTATGGTCTTTTCTAACCATTAATTTCTATCAATTCTCCATTTATAGTATTATGGCATAATGCTAAAACTTTTGGACCATTCTATTCTAGATCTCTTCCATTCACAGAGCTCTTAAAATTATTTATTTAACCACATAAAATTAATTTACAGTATGTAGCCAGGCATGGTGGTGCATGCCTGTAATCCCAGCACTCGGGAGGCTGAGGCAGGAGGATCGCTGTGAGTTCGAGTCCAGCCTGGGCTACATAGTGAGTTCCAGGTCAGTCTCACTACATAGTGAGACCCTGTCTCAAAAAAACCAAAAAAAAAAAAAAATTACAGTATGTAAAATTAGTAGTACTGTCTGACATGCGCTGCTTTCATCAGCGATGTAGCAGTGACAGTGATAATAGCTATCATTTATTGAGCACCTATATCACTGTTCTCAACATTTAATATCAATGAATTGCTCACCCTAGCAATGCTATATTACCAGCTCTAGTTTGCAGATGAGGAAATTTCTGTCTTTTTCTCTGACTTGCTCTTCTTTCATTCAAATGTAAACTTTTGGGATCTAGACTTGTTGATTCAGTTAGATCTAATTTATACCTTTTGATGACTTTATATATTTTAGTTTTAGATTGAATAATTTATTAATTCGTACCAGAAATATTTATTGGACACTCCCAACCTGTCAAGCAACACTCAGGTGATGGTAATACAGCAGTGAACAAAACAGCCTAGGTTCCTAGCCTTCATGGAATTTATATTCTAATGAGTAAGACAGACAATAAGAAAATACTTAAGTGCTGTGAGAAAGCAGAGGGAAGTCTGTGGCATATCAGGGGGTTGGATTTTATAGAGGATGATCATGAAAAATCTCAGCTGGGGATGACATTCAAGCGATATCCTAGTACTATTTTAAACCATCGGTAGAAGAAAAGAGAGCTCAGTTTGCCGAAAAATAATGTATGTATGTTTTCTTTTGCTTTGAAAATGTTGCTATGCCACCCCTTTAGAAGAACAATGTCAGGAAACCGAGGCACAAGGAAATCAAGTGAGGTTTGCCAAGTTGTACTCTAAACAGAGTGGAAGACCTTACATTTGACTCTTAACCCTAAATATCACATCTTTGGTTTAAATTTGCCCTCCTTAAGAATGTCAAGTTGATTAGATACTTGGCTGACTTTCTCAACTTTGAAAATTAAAAAAAGAAAAAGAAACCAGAGATTAGAGGAGTTTTTTTTCCTTTTCTTCAAATCTGACACTACACATTGAACAGGAGAATACTATCATAAATCTTTGTCTTTTGTTTCGCTCCTACCCCCTGTGCCTAATTGTGTCCACTAGAAAGCAGGAGACCCATGTTTCATTGCTCTACATGTATTTTTCTACAAGGCAGTTTTCAGTGCCATTCTCCAAGTTGCTGCTTTGCCTTGAAAATGAGCCATTTTTTCGCTTGTGCTAACCAGTGAGAAAGTGTCTTAAAGAGATCTCTACGCGAGAGTCCCCTCAAATCCCGCCATTCGTGGTCACTGCGACTGTGGAGAGCCACAGCAGCGCAGGCATGCGCTGTGAGGGAGGTGCGGAGGTGTTTGGTGGTGTTTGGGTTGGACTCCACGGGAACAGAAACGGGGCTCTTGCTTTCACTGGCATTTGTATTTGTGCTTCTCTTACCTTTCAAAGAGATGCCCAGAAGCATGATAGAAACTAAAATGATACTCCTTTAATTCGTTTGATGCAGCAAGTATCTGTTGAGCCCTCTAACACGGAGAGCTTGATGTGGTGGGAAAACAGATGAATCAATTATAGCTCCAGCCCCAGGGGTAAGAGAGACGTGTTTACAACCAGCTGTCGTTTCTGTAACAAGTGTAATTTGGATGTTAACAAAGCACTAAAGGGAAGTGGGGAGGCCGAGACCTTACCTGCCTTCCCCAGTGGGCTCGGTGCCAGCCGAGCTGAGACAGCAGCCAAGCTGCTTGGTGCCTAGATTTGGCCTGTGAGGCAAGAACTCAGGCTCTGAATTGTTTTCAAGGATATGCTTAAATAGCAAGAGAGAAGCAAGTAGGCACTGAAGTTCTCCGGAGGAGGAGGGCAAGAGCTGGGAAGTAATACCTAATTCAGGCTTTCACAGCCTTGGTGTGATTGCCGTGAAGGACTGGAACGTTCTTTGCTGGGGAAGGGTGGCCTGTGCATCTGCTCACTAGATGCCAGCAGCACCTCTCTACAGTCGTGACAAGCAAGAATGTCTACAGACACTGCTTACGTCCCCACAGGCTGGAAGTGGAAAATCACCCCTGGTTGAGAGGTCTGATCTAACACAGTGGTTTTCTGCCCTTTAATACACTCTGCCAAACAACCAGAGCACCATAGAGTGTCAGGCATTTCTCCTGGTGGCTGAGTAGGAGCTGCACCTTGCTGCTACTGCCCAGTGTAACAAGAAAATATATTGCATTATCACTAAACCTTGGAAAAAAATCAAAATTCAAGGTATGGTTTATACAGAATATGTATTGTTTTCACACTATCATAAAGTCAAGAATTATAAGTTAAACTGTCTTTAATCAGACATCTCTGTAACTGGGATGCAGCAGCTGTTGTCAGCCATTATTGACTTAAGAAGGGAAATAGAGCACGACAAAGGTCCAAAAGTGGGCAAAGGCAAGACATGGTCCAGGCATGTGCTTCAGCCAGCGTAGTTTATGGTTTTCAGTAAAAGAATGAAGTTTGAACATTATTCCGTAAGTGAGAGAGAACATTCGAAAGTTTTGCAGAAGTATAATGGGAGCCGAGTGTTTGGGCCAGATGATTCCTGAGACAGAGCAGAGGAAATGAGAGGTTTGGAATGGCCTAGAATTGTTTCAAGGGTATGGTTACAGCTCCAAGGCTTTGGCTAGGATGATGGGAGTGTAAAAAAGGGGGTCCTGGGAGAGTAGAATGGGTGGATAACAAGACATAAGAGATAAGTAGGGGCAGAGAAAGAGTGCATCTGATAAGGTAGCATTTGCTCCTGGGCAAATGAAAGACCTGTAATGGAGACTAAGAGTCTAACCAGGAAAGCAGGTTCCAGGGTTAAGAAGATCATCCTTGTTGGCACACATTGGAGTTGAGGTGCCTATAAGATACATATCCTGGAAACACCGGCCTAAAGCTGGGACTGGGATATGGAAAGGAATGTTTGAGAATTAAGGGCCCCATGTCAAATGCAGGGATAAAGTTGACATCTCAACCAAGACTGAATTTTGCACCCCCGCCGAGTTGGTTCCATAAGTTTGTGACTCTTAAATTGGCAGTGGTGACTGTGCTTGGTTTTTTTAAAAATAATTTTATTATATCAACACAATTAGTTAATTAATTTTATTATTTTGTGGGGGGGTACCTGGGGATTGAACCCGGGACCTTGTGCTTGTGAAGCAGGGTGTAGAACCACTGAGCTAAATCCCTGGCCCTGAGCTTGTTTTGAAGTTGTATTTACAAAGGAAGCCGTGGGTTCAGTTTAGAGTGTGTGTAATTTGAAGTGACATTAAAAACTCATTGTGTAAGTTTTGTATTGCTGCTGTAACAAATCAACATAAGCTTGGTAGTTTTAAAGCAACACAAATTTATAATTGTGCATTTCTTGAGGTCACAACCTAAATAGGTCTCATTAGACTAAAATCAGGGTATTGGTAGAACTGTTTTTCTTTTTTCTTTTCTTCTTCTTCAGGGGGCTTTTGGGAAAAATCTTTTTTCTTGCTTTCTGTGTCTTCTAGAAATTGCCTGCACCCCTTGGCTCATTGGTCCTGACTCCATATTCCAAGCCAGCCGTGTTGCATCTCTCTGATCATCTTCTTTAGTAACAGCTCCCTTAAGCCTCCATGTTTTGCTTGTAAGGACTCATGAGATTACATTAACTCACCTGTGATTCTCAAGCTCTTACCTGAACGACACACGCAGAATCTCTTTTGCTGTTGTCAGGTAACATATTTACACATTCTGGGAATTATTGTGTGTGTGTCTTTGGGATCTTTATTCTGCCTGTGAGAAAGGGTCATGGGAAATACCAGAGAAACTAAAAGTTGCTCCCTCCTCAGGATCACCTACATTTTAGTGAGGATCACTTCCATTTTAAAATAGTAGGACCTGGGATTTAGCTCAATGGTTCTCTTGCCTGCCTCCTAAGCACAAGGTCCCAAGTTTGATGTCCGGCACCAAAAAAATAAATAAAAAGAAATAAATAAAATAGTATTATAGTTTTGTAAAAATGACACATGATCCATGAAAAAAAAAATAGAAAAGCCAAAAGAAAATGGCCCAAAAACCACCGAGAGGCCTCCCTTCCAGATATAACCATGTCGATGTTTTAGTCTTCTTTTTACTTATTCCTCTGTTCACCTCTGTACACACACATGGACATAAGATGTGCATTCATTCCACTGAGGCCTGGGCAGAAAGTAAGAAGAAATCTAAGGCGGAGGGAGAAGAGTTGAAGAGTCTGCGGCGGGCTCTGCCGGGCTGGTAGTTCCTGTGCGTTCACATGGGTGTGGCGGCATCTGGTAGAGGGAGGCCAAGGCTGAGGCAGAGTCTGGAGGCTGGCAGGGGAGGGGCTCAGACGACAGCAGCTATTATGGAGAAACCAATAG